GTCATCGTGATCATCACCCGCGGCGAGTCAACAGCTATGCAACATTGGCAAGAACATCAGTTTCAGTAGCCTCGTGATCAGTGCCACCAGCAAATTCACAGCACTCGCTGCATCGGGCACATGGCCGTAAGCTGAGAGGTTCGCCAGCTGTACACAAGGTTGCTATGTGTCTGTCTGCCTGGTCAAACCATTCCTCATCCGTGAGATCCCAGATGTACCTCGCGGGTGAATTCCAAACCTAGGCTGGAACGCTCTTGGTGGCGGGGAGGGCTTTGCTTAACGCGACCCTGACCCTCGACCTTGGACTCTCGGGCTGCCTGAAGCTTCGAAATCTCTACGAGGTCCGGCAGTACCTCTGCCCTGCCACCGGCTCGTGCAGTGGACGGCCTGACGTTTACGGAGTGGCGGGTCCGGGGCCTCGAAGGGAAGTGTGCTTGCGCTGCTTTCATTTTGTTTGAGTGTCAAGTCCTCAAATACCGGCTCTTTTGGTTCTTCGAAGTCGGGAGTTTTTCAGACGGTCGTGACAGATGGAGCAGATGGAGGAGCAGCTGCAGAAGAGTTTACTTTCGCCCGTACCTTCATTTTGAGCTTGAGGGGCGCTGCATCGAGCACTCTTACGGAAGTATGCTCCATTCCTGGAGGCGCCGTGCCATCTCTGTGGCGTGGGCGAGGTGCTCACGTGTCAGTGTCGGATAGGCCAGAATAGATCCAGCTGGAGATTGTAATCCATCAGCCGGAACAAGTGTTCCTACCTGCAACAAAGTCTTGTCATGGTCGCTCCACAGATGGTAGCTTGAACTATTCGATGATTCGATGCATAATCTGAAGCTCTGAACCTTGTAGTTCAGCCTCAGCCAAACTTTGACTTGTGTCAGCAACTCACACACTGAGCCCAGCTGCGAGCCATCATATACGTTGAGGCTCTCTATTATTGAATCCCAAACCTCGGTTTGTTTCCTAAGCTTTAGCCCTTGGATGTTCAAGAACTTCAGACCGTTGGGAACCAAGCAGCAGTCTCTTGCCACTAAGGCCCGGAGAGAGTATTTGTCCTTTGGAAAGCTCTGCTCAGTTCGTAGTCTTGGATGCTTGTGACAAGCTTGTAGCGAAACCCTTGTGCCTTGTGCTACCTCCTGCCTCGGAAGGCCCCAGCCCAAACCTTTAACTTCGTGCTTTGTAGTTGCACAATCACTTACTGCCACGGCAACACCTGCAAGTCCTATACCAATCCAATGTTTGAGCTCATAGCTTTGGACATACAATGCCTTTCATGGGCTTTGCACAGCCCCTTAGTAGCAATGGCTTTCGACGAAAGAACAGTCGATCGATGTTATGCAAGTCGAGACTTCGAGTTCACCAGAAAGTCGTGGTGGTGGCAGTGGTGGGGGTGACAGTGGTTGTGGCGGCTGGTGGCGGTGGTGGGCGCCAATGGTGCTGGTGCTGGTGTTGGTGCTGGTGCTGGTGCTGCTGCCGCCGCCACTGCTGCTGCTTCTCAGCGCCGTAATCGTAAGTACCGCTCGGGCTTTACGCAAGTTCCAACAAACGTTCTGCCCTCTGAACGTCAAATTCATGTTCGGAGAGGCATGGCTGGAGATGGAATTCAATGCTGCCGTTTGCAGCTCAGGGGCCTTAGGGTTCGACCACTACTTGAGGTGAGGCACGTGCCACCAGCGTTCAGCAGTGGGTTTCAAGCTGTGGTGCCCAGGCCCTACGTTCAGACAGTTTTGGGCCCGCGCATCAACTATAAGAAGGTTTGGAGATAGGAACTCGAAGCTGTTGTAGGAACAAATTCCGGCCACAGGCCTTCGAATGTCAAACCCTAAGCCCTCAAATCTATGCTTGAGCTCGGAACCGTCGTAGCTACATGGGTTGCCAGCAGGCTTACGAGTAGAACGACAAGAGCGTGGCCCAACAGATTCAGTCCTTCAGAAGCTGGATCGGTGCCGTGGCCGAACTCCCCAAACCTCCGAGGTGGAAGTGATGTGCTTCCGGCTTTTTCAATGGGGCGAACGCGTGGCTCGACATAACTTTCGAGGTTCTGGGGCTTGGAGGGAAGATCTTGTCTGTCTGTTTGTCTGTCTGCCTG